TTCGGCGATTGTTTAATAAGTCGTTTTTATGCTCACGGGTTCATATATACATTGATATACCTTTGCGTTAAATAACGCGTTCGCTGTCACTAAAGTATTAGCTAACGCGTGCTGACGCGTGCTCTCAACGCAAAGGTATACGTTTTAGTATTATATATACCGATACACATTTCCATACGCTTGCGGTAAACGATGAACCATCTCTGATTCTGATCAAATTTTGTGTATCTGCTATTTGCTGAGCATGTCTAATTTATTTGAATAGACTGATCAAATATATGATTAGCTGAAGCCGATTGAAGCTGTTTGTGCTTGAGCAAATTGTGATATTTATCAAGTGTTTTAGTCTGTATAAATGAAATGATTTCCTCATTTCGAAATATGCACGACTTCGCCATTTTATGACATTAAAAACAAGTGATGAACGAATTTTTTTACTTGCACTCTTTTTAATATTTAGACAGATAAAGTGTAAACAATGAAGAGAGAAAATACGTGATTTCATACATTCGTGCGACATTGTGAAGGGCACACGGCACATAACAACGAAACTTCCATATTAACCCTTAATTTTGAGCCAATTTCAACGCTAGACTTTGGGCTCGCTCATAAACTTTGTACAAATATTCATGTGATTCTCAGGAATACCAGCGACCGCATAAATGACTTATTACGACCCGTATTTACTTGAACTTACAAATAAACCATCAAATTTGAAGCTCTGAAACATGGTTCAAACAGAAGCATTATCAGTCGAATGATAATGGGTTAAATGAATAAAACCAAATGCGTCACTTCACACGTATGTACTTGCGTTACAAATTAGAATATAAAACACTTCGCTATTTTGAGGAAGCTATCATATTTGTTGAGCAACTCAATTCATCAACATTGGTGGAAGAGAAATTTTTGCGGTCGGCATGAAGTGTTTTTAGTACTGCGATAAAAGCCTATATAAAGAATGTTATTATATTTGACAATATTTGACTCGATGTCAATGACGATGTGGCAGCGCCACCTATAGAGATTCCTTATTAAAATAAGTGGAACTATTGAGCGCGTGCACTATATCGCACGTAAATTTTCAATATGGCAGCGCCCATAGAATTGAAAAGTTAACCAATTTCGTAGTCACAAATTATCGCTGTACGGTTTTTATAATCCAATATTTATTGCATTTTGCACTGTCGTAAGTTGATTGAAAATATTCTGTATAAATATATTAATTTCATATAAGCATCAAATGCTCTTTATACGCTTCAAATCATGGCCAATTATTAACTCAAATCACTCTGCAGCCAACATAGATCTGCCTAAACTGACGTAAAACTTCTCGTCAATTTATCCACCGGTATAAATTGAGTGATGCCTTTTCCTGTCCTAGAGTCTCCAATTAAAGTGTAAAACTAAACGGTTCACATAGCCTTTGTCCCTTTGGAAACGTTGACCAAAGGTTATTTTGGACCGTTTTCTATCTGACTACTTTTAAGCATTTACATCTTGGTTGTATGACTATGTTTTTGTTTTCATGTGCCTACTTTTGTAAATACTGCATAATTTATGAAAAGAGCCAGGTTTTTAACGAGGCGAGAACTGAAAGTTGTACTAAATCGGTGTAAATTATTATTATTATAAATTGATGTAACAGTCTTCTACTCTTTTCCGGCCAAACACTTATTTGAACCTAGTAGCGCAGAAGAGTTGATATATTATATTGTGGTGGGCAACAGAATGGCATTTGTGTCGGTATAATTGAATCACAAAAATTGAGAATTTTTTTTTTAATTTTCAGTCAAACTGGTGCGCACCGATCGAATTATAAAAGTATAATCATAAAATTCTTTTTTTCGTACAATCAATATCGTTAGGTTTTGATGACAGGATGGGCGATAGCGATCGATCCATGTGCAACTGTGTTCTGCTCTACTGGTACCATATGTGTACCTGTCAACGGTATAGGAAGATGCGTGCCAGCACCATGCACCTCCGATAAAGAATGTCCCGATGATCAAGCTTGCACTTTGGTGTTATCGCACAATGAGGAGAATAAAACCTGCACTGATCCATGTGTATTAATTGATTGCCCTGCTGGTACCGATTGCATGGTTATGCTCATCAAGTAAATTGCACACAAACGCCGATCAATCCATGTGCATATACAACTGTGCGCTGCGCATTTGGTACCGTATGTGTAGCTGTCGAAGGTGAAGCAAGATGTGTGCCAGGACCATGCACCTCCGATGAAGAATGTCCCGATAATCAAGCTTGCACTTCGGTGTTTTCGCACGATGAAGAGAATAAAACCTGCACTGATCTATGTGTATTAATTGATTGCCCTGCTGGTACCAATTGCATGGTTATCGATCATCAAGGAAATTGCAAAGAAACGCCACCATGCCAATCAGAGAAAGATTGTCCTGATAATCAAGATTGCTTCCAATTGAACGGAGAATCTCCTCAAGCTTGTAATGATCCATGTATAAAGGTGAAGTGTGATGATGATTCTATATGCATTGCTAGCGGCCATCAAGGAGTCTGCACTAAAATTTCATGCTCATCAGATGATGAGTGTGACGACGATGAGGCTTGCTTCGGTGCGACATGTGATGCACCTCCAGATTGCAATAATCCATGTATGTTAGCTAGATTTGCAAATTGCACACCATACAATCATCAAGCTAATTGCCCATAATAAACGTCCAACATTTGAAATGATATTCAATTTATTCAAACATTGTATAAAACAATTTAATGGATCCTTACTTTTAGCTTACATTTTGGCATCAAAGGGATCAGAATGTGTCACTTTAATTTTTGTACGTGTGGAATACATAGCTTTGTGGTTTGATTGGGTTTAAAGTCAAATAAAATAAAATGTTTTACCATGTAAAACGAACTTTTCCGCACATTTTCGGTGGAATGTAAAATATAGTTCACTTGGATGGAATGTTACAATTGTTAAGTGATGTTACCATAACCATGAAGGAACCGGATGGTATTTATGTTCATCTTCGTTCCAAGACCTTTCATATGATACCCATATTGACTATACTTATGTAGAATGGTATGAAGTCCATCATGGTCACCATGATGGACGGATATAGTGTCCATTTCCACGCCCATTTTAAAACCTTTCATATGACACCCATGTCAACTATTCATATAAAAATATAATAATATAAAAATATGCTGTTAAGTGGTGTTAACATAACCGTGATGGACCGGGATGGTGTTCATGTTCATCTTCGTTCAAAGACCTTTCATATGATACCCATATTGACTATACTATGTAAAAATGGTATGAAGTCCATCGTGGTCGACCATCGTGTTATAACACCATTTAACATCACTTACCATGGGAAAATCGTGTAAAAACAGTAAAAACAGTAAAAAAAAAAATTTGGTCGAAAAATCCAAGGGGGGACCCTTGGGTGAAATTCCATGATATACCAAAAGTACCAGATAGACTGGTCCAATTCGGTCCAACTTCTGATACATTCAAGATATTTATATAAGACACCACGTTGCAAAATTTAAACAAAATCGCTCAAGAGATTCGAAAGTTATCGTGTATACAAGGAATTTTCGTGGGTTTTTCGAAACTGTAAAAAGGACATCAAAATCGTCCATCGTGGTGGGAACACCATTTAACACGGCTAACATATAAAAAACAGCCAGCAATAGCCAGAAAATGCATTTTGAAGCGAAAAAAGTAATTAAAAACAGACCATCATGGTCGGCCACCGTGGTAAAACATCGTTTAACACGGTTTACCACGAAAAAATCGCGAGGAAGACTAAGAAATAACCAAAAAATGCATTTTTTTGTGATGAAAAAATAAATTTTTTCCCGAAAAAATCCAAGGGTGGACCCTTGGATGAAAATCTATGATGTAGCAAAAGTACCAGATGGACTGGCTCAATTTGGTCCAACTTCTGATACATCCAAGATATTTACGTAAGCTACCTCCTGGCCAAATTTAAGCAAAATCGCTCTACTATTTTGTAAGTTATCGTGTATACAACGAAAATTTAAAATTTTCACGACGATCGCTATACTTTCCTTCACACTTCGTGTGCGGAAAAGTAAAAAGAATGGAAGGAACTTGTTTTTATCTTATCCTTTTTGTTTGCCTTTTTGTTCATTTTCTCCAAAATAATTTGTATAAATTGACGATTTTTTTCAGTAAAATCGACTTCATTTCGACCGAAACCATTTTCATAACCAAAATTTCTATCAACTGAAGTTAATTTTGGTCTTGCTTAGAGAAATAACGCAATTTAAATCAAAACACATAGAGAAAAAAACTCTTTGCACAAAACGAGTAGATAAAAGAAAGCAAAAAAATGTGAGGAACGGAGATTTGATTAGATTTGGAACATATGAGCTATGCTCATGATCAGTCGTGTGTTGTTCACTCGTTTAACGCGAAAAGAATGATACTTAGGTGCAGAAGTTGGTCCCAATATTCAAAGGGGTTTAGTTTTGTATTTGAAATAAAACAAAATTTCATGTTGAAATTCCTGCATAAAAATAAATTGCTGCGAAAAATGAAAAAGATTGACGCCTTTCAAATGCGCGCCTTTCAATGTGGTCAAAACTAAAATCATTCGTGTTGAGTCTGCTATATCGGCGATAAAATTGTTTCTTGGAAATGGAAACGATATCAAATGACACAGCGCGTTCAACGTCTGATGTGAGTGTGACTGTGTGCGAAATATTCGTAACTGCGATCTGCATTCGCCATCATTCGACAGTAGTCTGTGGTGAGTGAATGTTTGAACAGCGTTTCTTTATCAAGTGAAAGAAAATGGCGTTGTGGTCGAGAGAAAATCGAAAGAATCTTGTCCAATACGTTGATTTGTTTGAAGACGTTCCGAGCGAATACGAAGACGAATTCAAAAAATGGGATCAGCGACTCAACAATGCGGATTGGAAGCACAAATTCTTGGATCTACAACATGAAGCCGTCAAAAATCAAACAGTCGCAAGTGATTTCGATAGCCAAGGAAATGTTCATTTCGAACGCACTGAATTTCACAAAGCCATGGAACTGTACAATCAAGCATTGTGCTTTGCTGAAATGGATTCACAAAAGGGCCTTTTGTACGCGAAACGCGCTCTGTGTTTTTTCAATTTGTACATGTACGCGGAATGCATCGCAGATACGAAATTGGCGTTGAATACGGAATTGCCATTCGAATGGAAGTCAAAGATGAACGAATACCAAGAAAAGGGCACGAAACTATTGTCGACCACTGAGTATCGCAAGCCAATCGCACCGAAATTGAGTTTCGACGCTGACACCACATTCCCGTGCATGGCAAATGTTGTGCAAATCAACAAAAATGGACTCGAAACGAACATCGTGGCAAAAAGTGACATTGGCATCGGTCAAACTGTGTTGCTCGAAAGGGCGTTCACATCGATTGCTGTTGGATATGATACTGCTGTATGTTTCACATGTTTCAAAATGTGCACAAATTTAATGCCATGTGCCGATTGCACCGACGTCATGTTTTGTAGCGAAGAATGTATGCGGCTCAGCGATGTGCATAAAATTTCATGTGGTAATAATTACAGTCGAATGCCGAGCTACATCAAGTTGGTTGTCCAGTCGATTTTGGAAGCACTCACCACATTTTCCAGCGACTATTTACAATTGATGGCATTTGTCAACGCCACTGTTTCGCGTAAAGTTACCGAAACGAATACCGACGCCAGAATTTTGAATTATGGCCAATTTTTTGGCTTGAAATCATCTTCGAAGCCGCTACCGATACAGCTCATTTACGAAGCATACACAACAGCCATGGCCATACCGGTGATTCAGAAAATGTTCATCACAGAAAAATCGAAACGTTTTTTGATGCATCTCGTTGGTCATCACGTACAAGTTTTACTGGCCAACTCATATGGTGGATTCGAGAAAGACCAGAATCAATTCATCTTTGCATCGATGACAAATGTGGCGTCGCTATTTCAACACTCATGTACACCGAATCTCATGCAACACACCATTGGAAATCAAACGATTTTGATCACAAATCAACCCGTGAAGCAAGGCGACCGTCTGTACATTGATTACATTCCACAAGAACACGAGGCGGAACAACGAATCGTGACGTTAATAAAAGACTTCGGTATTGTTTGCACGTGTGCAAAATGCAATCCTCCACATCCAATGATCGACTCGAACCTACAAAACGATTCATCGTTCGAGTTGATCTCGCAGTATACGAAATATATTCCTGCCGGAATACCAGCCACTTTGAAGCAAAAATGCGTCGAGTTCCTGCAACAACACGCAGAAAAGCCATGGTCCGAGGAAAAAGAACTCGTCATCAATGTCTACTCTCAATGCTTGCTGGCAGAACTTGATAATCAGATGATTTCAGTTTAAATTAGTCATAGCCAGTTAGTATTTTTTCAACTTTTTCAACTAAAATCATGTCATTTTAATTTTAAACGTCAGAACGTTAAAAACCCTCAACTGAATTTTATTATTCGAATACACAACAATATATCAACTCTACAGTTCATATAATTTAGCATAAGATTAGAAAAAGTGAAACTCATTAAATACATTCATTATTCTAACATTTCTTTTTAATTATAAATAAACGGAATAGTTCACATAAATCTCTGTGTATGTTGGTTTAAAAAGTCATTACTTCGAAACACTTTGCTTTTGCTTGAGCTAAATTTGGCTATTCATACTGCAGATGTTATGAGTTAACATCGAAAATTACAAAAAGGTAAGTCTGCTGACTTGGTTCGGGTTAGTACAAATCGATTTTCGAAAGATGAAGAAGTTCCAATTGCTCGAATTTCATTTCAATTGAGTCTCGTATAAAATTGCTTCTTTCAAAATGAGCTAATTTGCCCAACTTTTCGCTGTAATATGCACAATTTCCATCGCCCACAATTTTAATTAGGCCATAAACTATCGATTGAGTGATCTGGTCTAGTTTAAAAGGGAATAAAAATAATGATACCGTAAACAGTTTGTCTATTAATTCTTTATTATGGAATATGTTGGAACTTGGGATTCGGAACTCTGCTATTGGCACAATGCGTCGATATAATGGAATAGTCGATAAGGGTGATGCATAAATACAGTATATGAATTCAACTGTCATAAATAGTTGAACATTTCAATGTGCAAATACTAAGTATAAAATATATAATTTAATGTCTGATGAATACTTTATATGGATAAACAATTAATAAATAATGTCAATCACAATGGAAATCCTATCATCAATTTCCATCACACAAATGTTTGTCATTTCAATCTGGAATTCGATTCATTCCCTGAGTCAGCTTTGGAGCTCTGTTTCGGAGAGCTTCCGTTTGTACCTTCCCATCTAAAAATGAACAAAACTTTTCTATTGATTCACATTGAATGTAGTAATAGTTTGTGTGAACCTTTTTTTGATTAAACCAAATACTCGGGGCTTCAATATGAATAGTATAAATATCCAAACTCCCTGCAGCGACAGGATTATTTCAGTCCATTCGGAGAATTTGGTGTTTATCAAATATGAAATTCCCGATATGCTATACGTCATTCCCATCACTATAAATAATCGTAAATACATCCGAAAACTGCAATAAAGGAATGGTTTTTCAATTAAGACTGAAATTATATGGAATGTAGTGATAGTCGAATAGTTTCAATCATTTACTCACTTTCCTTTGGCCGTATTAAATTTGGTCTGATGTCGAGAGCTATCTTCTTGTGACGTTAATTTATACATTTCCTTCTTGACTTGGCAAATTTTCAGTGCCGTCAAAATGAAAAATATTATGTTGAGAGTGAATGTTGTACAAATGAATCCGGCCACTTCTAATTCGTCAACTTTGTCTGGATCAACTGATTGCAGAAAATTTTTGGAGGAAAGCAGTGTTTTTAAACACATGCAAAAACGTGAAATGAGAAAAAAAAGTGAAGCATTAAATAGAGTAAAGAAGATGGTAAAGAAAAAATTCCATAGCATGAAAATCATGAAGAATATAGAATGACCCATTCCAAATGAATAGATAAATGAAGCTAAATGAAAAGAATAAGTAACATAAAACCGTACCATTCACAGATTTCAAAATATCCGAAAATAATTGAAAAATATTCAGCAAAAATGGTGACAGACTCGCATAAAGCATGTACAAAATGAATCGCTTGGTTTCTGCAGATTTGTTGGTTTTGTTGACATTTCTGCAAATATGGAAATAAGTCAACATTTGTCTGTTAATTCCCAACTGGATTGCCCCATTGTTCCAAAATCAACAGGAAATCAAACAAAGCCGAATGGGCGTATATTCTCACCGAAACGTGCACCATGCATCGAATGCAGTAACGTTCAACCACTGAAAAGCGCTGAGGAATAAGTAAATAATGACTGGTTCCCACATCAAATCTATGGTTTTGTGATAGCTCAATATTTCGAAAATGAAGCAAAGTGCCTGCAAAATCAAGTAGCAAAGGAAACACTTTCCGTGCAAATTTCTATGCAAATCTGGTAAATAAATGTAGACTAAGAATGTCGCAATTAAAAATGGCACCGATAAAATCATGGCTGTAAGAAAGAGGGGTCATCGGTCAAGTTAAATAAGATATTGCAGAAAATGTTATGATGAAACATTCCCTTCGAATGTGTTGCAAAACTTACAAATATGTTCCAGATAATCGAGAAAAACTTTGGTCTCTGCATCACTGTTTGGCTGAATAATCTCGACCCAATTGATGCAAATGGAAACGTCCAGGTCATTTTCGTCAGTATCATCGTTCACACGTGTTTGACAGTATCCACGAATGGTTGTTGTTTTATTCTGGCGTAGTACTTTTCCTGCCTACAAATACAAACATTAGATAAAAATGATGTGATCTTTGGACGTAGTCATCATACAGTACGCTTTACATTTTTGATTTTAAATCTTATCTCTTCTTCGATATAAAATTGTTTGCATGTTTTATTTTTCACATTAATTGGTTGTTCGGCCAAAAATAGGTTGATAAATTTGTGCTTTTCGTCCATCACTTCGCCTTCCATTTGCGTTAATTCTTCATTACAATTATTATCCAAATTGATGGTAGTATCTTTGATGAGTTTATCCGAGCAGCAGAGTCGAAAACATGGCTTAATATTACAAAGACATCCACGAAAATGCGGCTTCGACGCCTTTTTCTCGCCATTGTCAATGATATAACTCAGTACAGCGTATTGATCATATTGAAAGTCAATGCCATCAAATAGGATGCTCCCGTTTGGCTGGTGAATTCCATCGGTGATATTGATTGAATCGAAGAAATAGCATGGCAATTTCGAACAATCGACCGATGTGAGACCAATTAGAATGATTAAACTTATGCTCATCACTTGAAGTGTCGGAGAAACACACCCATCCATATTGACAGGCTAGAAATAATGACTAGAGACTCAATTCAATGGTGTCATTTTTTTGTTTTTGCAAGCGAACATAGCAACGATGAATGATTAAATTGGTTGCGATGATGAATAATTATAGCGAATTTGTTTCACTAAATATCTGGTTGAACGATAAGAAATTTAGTCATTAGCTTGTTGAATAGAAACAAATTAGTTGAAATTGACATACTGTTCTGTTGATACAAGTCTCTGTGTGTTTCATATTGGAGAAGAGACTTCATCATGACGTTCAAATATTCACATAATCGCATCCATCTCTCGACTTTTCAACTCGAAATCATTCAACAAGTTCATTTTATCATCATTTTTTTTGAATACGAAGAAACACAAGCAAACGGCAATTTAGATTAACTGTATCAACAGCGATTCAATATGCTCAAATTTTTTTTTTCTGGCGAAAACAGAAGGCCGTTCATGTTTTCGTTCGCATATATGTATAGTTTCGCTTTGATATATAGGGCTTTCTCTCTTTGCGTTTATTTTTAATATTCACATCACATTTGGGAATCAGCTGTCATTTCGATTAAACTCACACCAAATAGCTCACACACTGTTTTACTGTTTGTTTTGGTCTTAATTTGACTTTTGAGCTATGAATTTTATCCAAAAAATAAATCTTATCTATTTTATCAACTCATTTTACTTAATCAACTCATTACGAAATCACCCATAGACTCTGAATGCTAAGCACATATATTTTTGATAAAATCGCAGAAATTAACACTTTGCCGTGGGACAACTCTATTTATTTCTGAATCGTCGTAGACTTCATTCATAACACGACACAATCTTTAATTCTGTTGCTATTTAAGAGCGTTCTTTCAAAACATAAAATAGGAATGTGCTTTGCAAGCAAATCGCTATCAAATAGAACCAAGTTACTTCATCCAAGCATCATTGATACGGACCGATTAAACACCACTATCCACTTTGCCAGCACATAAAAGACTGTTTGCATGCTGTTCAAAACTAATTTTGCGCGATCAGAAGCTACAAGAAGTTGCTCACGTCACACGCTCCGCGCAACATTATGAATGTATGCAACGTCGTAAAATTATTTCAGGCTCGTATTCAGCCAGTTTACGTTTGAAGCGCCAGCACAGAGATTACAGACCAAATGTGATTTAGTGAACTGACTGTAGAAGACACATCTTTACGATGTATGGGTGTGTGACATATACATTTGTTTTTGTTTTTTCAATATAATCGGCCAAGTTTATCATTGACTGCTCTGAAAATGCATGACATCTATCACCAGATGATAAACAACCGGGATTAATACATAAATAGAATTTTTTAGGAGGAACAGACAACAACAAAAAGAAGAGCGTAGTGTTGTTTATATTGATGTCTAATGGTTGCTCGTAACTGAAACATTTCTTTTGGGAAAGTAAATTCAAATGTTCTCTCTCTTGCTTTCTCTCCTCCGATATGCGCATGTGCTTTGGAAAATAGTCGACATAAACAATGCTCCTATATGTGCGGCAGTGAGATATTGTGTCAGTTATTCTTTTCTATTTTCTAACCATTCATCCAGTATATGTTTGTAATATGCGGCGTTTTGATTAGATTAGGACGTATTGATTCAGACACATTGGAGCCAGGCTACCTACGGAGAAAACCGAATCTCGCGAGAGAAAAATACGATACAAAAATAGATATTTTTACACTTTTTTGCAATCAAATTTCTCTGTGTGGATCAACAACCATGTAAGAAAAAAGAAGAAGCCATGCTTGCATGTACGCAGATCAGCTCATTCAAATTTTAAAATGGTTAGCAGTGAATCAAAGCCTTTGAAAGTGCGCTCAAAATAAGTGATATGCGTTGAGAGAACGAATCAGTTCAAAGTCATTCCAGATGGGACCGTTCGAAGTGATTTACGAGAGTAAAATCGAACACTGCATCGAGCATGTTATGGTATCGCCTGGACACTGTATTTCATCATATTGTAAAGAGTTGTTTTTGTGCAGACAAAATATGAGTAAAGAATGATATGAATGAAGTAAAATGAATGGAGTGAGGTTTTGCGCAAGTGACGAGTGAGAGTTTTTCAAATTAGCACATTCCAAGAGTGTTTCATTTGCGATTTTCTTTTATATTTACACCAGTTAATGCTTCCATTAATATGTTTAAAATGAATGTAAGAGCATCTAATTTACAAACGATGAAAACCACCAATGATTTATTGCCTTTCTACTGAATATTCTGCTGAGGTTTGATTTGCTTTATTTTCAGCAGCCGTTGAAAGACAAAACCAAATAATAATTAAGTATCACATTTTATGTAAAACATTTATTGGTTTGGTATTAGAACACAATATATCATTCAAAAATATGAAATGTTTAACATTCAGACGGATTTACAACATAGACCTTGAGTAGCTTTAGGAAATATTTAAACTTGCACATACAAACCGTATAAATTCCGATACAAAAAGTAAATAGTGTTAATAAAAACTGAGTAATAAAAGTTATAATGATAGTATTGATTCGAAAACTCCACTTTTCTCCCGGATTTGTATTCGATTCTGATTTCAGAGCAAGTGAAACTTTTCTCGTTTCACAGATTGTTTAGACATCAGAGCTTCCGGTTTTAGTACTGCTGCTCGCTGAAGTGACATTTCTGTGAGACATCACAGGACCCCGACTATTTGTTGTGCCTTTCCACCTAATTTTCAACAAGAAATCAATGAAATTATATTACAATCGTCTTTTATGCTTCAGTTTCATTCAATTCAACTGTGGTCATTACCTTGTTGAGATTCTGGCAATTGTGCTGCGTTTCAGAACAAGTAGAATGAATAACAAAACGGGTTCCAATGAGAGAAACATATCAAATCCATGTGAAAGTATATCATTTTTGAAGAGAAATTTCGAAAATACGGCGAAGCTTGGAATTACTCCCGTTATGATAAATATACGAAAATACATCACCAAGCTGCGAATGAAAGAGAAACAAGTGAATCAAAAGATTTGAATATCCTTTTTCTTTCTTTTTTGCTTCGATAAAATATATTTTAACCAAATATTGGATATACCGTCTTTTTTCAGCGATAAATCTATCCAGAAGCCTGGTATCCTCTCCACGAACCAATAGTTCTTGATTGGTATGAACAATATTCCAAATGATTAGAAGGAAAAAAATCACATTTATGATGGATAAGATTATGAAATACGCATAGAACATGTTGAGAGCTACATTATGAAATCCCCAAAAATGAAGAAAAAAACAAATTAAATTTCAAAAAAATCAACTATCAATATTGAAGTCAATGAGATTTTTACCATTATCAAAAGATTGTAATGAAAACGTGATTCCCAGCAATACAAATGGTGTAGAACACACATAAAACGCATACAAACACAACCGTCTACCTTCATGGAGTTTTCCGTTTTCATATAAACTAGTTTAGAAATTCGAATCAGTCATAAATCGTCAAAGAAACTTAAATTGTTTCGAAAACTTGAGCCCACTTTTCAGCAACAGACTAATCGAATTTTTATTATTTTCAAGTTCATCCCTTGCGAAAAATAACGAATACTAGTTGGCCGTCTTTTTTTGGATTCATATTTGAAATATGTTGATTGAATTTTTTTTACCTAGTTGAAACTCTAATCATAGCATATACAAAATATAATCCAAATGTCCCAACAAATAGTTTAAAAAATGTGCACAAAGGATGCACTTTCAGAGTCTTTTTTTCCATACAAAAGACTTGTTCTTACCGAAAAGGTTTTAAATTTTGCCAAGTGTCGAACGTAATTACATGTATCCATTGAATCATACAGGGAACTAAGAAAATGTTGAGAATATGAAAGAGTCCTTCACCAATCAACTCTTTGTCGAAAACTGTAATAACATTTTTGCACCCAAGGAAAATCAAATAGCAAATCAGGCATTTTCCGTGTATGTTACGAAGCTCTGGCAACCAGAAGTACACGCCAATTATGACAACTATAAACGGCATTGATGCAATCATATCTGCTTAGGAAAATTGGAAAAAAAAAATTATGTTCAACTTTCAGATTGTGATAATGTATTCTGTCTTTCGATTGAACTCACTGATATTTAGGATGGTTTTTAAAACACACTTAACCTTAAGTCCAAGTGTTAATTCAATGTCATCTTCATGTAAGTGACAAAATTTATTGCATTGATATTCCAAACAACAAACTTGTATAGCAGTTTTTCTTCCATTGACCAGGGCATAATCAACTCGAGCATATTGCCCTTTGGAGAATTGAACGTCATAAACAGTAATACCATCATTATTCCATTGTGTGACTCTACTAATATTCACTAATATGGAAAAATCGCATTCCGATTCATTGCCGTCTACATAAAATGACTCTCGTTGACCGCCAATAATGAGGCATATCAATAGTACACGCTGTGCATAAGTTATTCCAACATTCATGTTGACCGGTCGAACAAATTACCAAAGTATCACGAGAAAAAGAAATCACACAGCGAAAACTACCCCAACGTCATTCATTCATTTATCAATGATTATTTGGCGCAAAAAATACAAAACAAATAATAGTATGACATATTTTGAAGATACATATTTTCGACTGTTTTAAAGTAAATTAAAGTCTAATCCAAAACTGACGGATTTTTCTAAAATACTTTGAATAACTTTTCTTTTTCTGCATTTAAATTCCGAACCGTTTTTTTCAGCATGCACTTATTCGGTTTTATTTTTTAGTCTTTTGAATTTTCAATCTTCAAACGATTTTTTAAAAACGCATCACAAATATTCTCTTCTTAGCTCGCTGAATATGTATAATTATTATTCTTGATAAAAAGATAAGTCTTTGTATTGTAAACAAAACAAAATGATAAGATATAATCGACGGAATAAAACTTCTTTCTGGGCATCGCACAATCGAACACGACTTTTCACTTGGCCAGTCAAAATGAAACTGTTTGCTATTTCACACCCAACAGTGCCATGTAAGAGCAGCATTCTTATGTCAGCGACGATTTATAATTAATTCTTGATGCGCTATAAAAATACTATAAAAATTACTATGCCAATAGGGACACGGGACAGTGTAGAAATATTGTGGTAAGGCCACTTATGAAATGGAATATTCGGCTGCTCCAATTTCGGACATGAGCAACATTCATTCATATCAGCTAAAATGCAAGCTAGATTAATTTTTGCTACCATCACTATTATGTAAGGTTTGTTCAAGATGTGAATGTAATAAAAACAGTTTAGAACAGTTTAGATGAATAATTAGTCATCATTTTTATTTCATCCGCCAAACGTGCCTATAAAAATACGCTATCTCTTTTGTTCAAATGATTAGACGTGCCCAGGCGGAGAAAGGGGTTTTGTTACACAGAAATCGTAGACAACTGTAAACGATACAGATCCAAGCGTGCACGCGATTTCGCTGTAATCTTACACTCATCGCTATCACTTCAGTTCAGTCGGCAATCTAGTTAAGAGCACAAACTTGGGACATGGCATTGAATAATAACACCTACTAACAATATCTCTTTATGCACTAACGAGCAACGCCTTGAGGACCGAATTTTCTGCTGCGTTGATTCAAGTGTTTATTCAGCCGATTCACCTTCTTCAGGTTATTTCTCCGGCATATACATTGCCGCTTATTTTCATGTTCATTATTGTAATTCATTTTATTATCAATATTGCTTGTGGCTCCCGTAGAACATATCCAATTCGGAATATAATGATACGCAAACATCACAAGGACGAAATCATGCTGCGCAATTTCATAAATTTTCACATTTCTGTTGCATTTCGATACTCAGATTCTTAGAATAAAGTTCATTCAATGAACCAATCTTCAGCAGACTCATACACTGCGTCGTAGACTCGTATATTGCGTCGAAATTCAATTTAATTGCGAATTCACTTTTTTCAATTCAAACGCTTACGCAATTAAAGAAATGTGATCGAACAATAATTGTTTTTTCCTGTTCCAGTTGGAATTGAAACAATTAGTAATATTCAATTAAATGGAAATAAGAAGAAAATGTTTAATGTGACATAAATGCAATCAACATATTTCTGATGATGCAACCACAATGGATTAAAGCCATTTAGTTAATACATGCAAATCATCCTGTCCGCAATAAATCGTTGAGTGTTACAAATAAAGAAAAAAAGAAGAAAAATCGGATTTGGTTATCAACACCTTGGGGAATTTGCATAGAATCGAATGTTTGCTATTGTATTGAATTGGTGACACTGTGAATTAAACGCAATGTATGCAAGAACTGGAGCGACAAAAAGTTGGCTTCGGAAATTTTTCATTCTGTTTTGTCATACCAGTTCACATTTCGTTCGTTCGTTCGTTCGTACTTCACTTCCCTCCTTTCCTCTTTCTAAGTCATACATTCACAGCACAGAAAGGCCGTCTGGAAATAAAAAAATGCATTTTCCTCGTTACTTGGAAGAAATAGTAAACAGGTGTCTTCAGCATAGTTCTCGAGCAATAGAACAACTTCAATTATGCTGAAGACACCTGATCACTATCTCTTCTATGTAACGAGAAAAAAGCAAAAAATATTTTTTTTCCACTCAATGTGCCACTTTTCAACCGATTCTTACGTGAGCGTAGCTCATCCAATTTAATGCCTGTCAACAGCCGTGGAGAGAATGAAGAAAAACAGTATTCTTTCTCATTAAAAGGAATATGATTTTTAATGCAGCCAAACGACTGAAGGCTTGAGACTCCAAATAAATGCATTCCTCAGCTAAACATAACATTAGAATGTTGAGCTGAATTTCAAGAAAGGAATCAAATCACATGCGATTGAAAATAGTTCATAACATGAACGTAATCGATTCTCCAGCAAAGGAAGGAAATGAGTAAACATTGAGTTTTCACGTCATATCCCCTTGCATTTGCTGGATTGGATTGAAACGCGTTTCAAACATGCCATACACCAGCGTAATTTACATAGCAACCGTTTTTATTTATCCATTGTTTACTTAAATTGGCTACATTTATTAGGGACTTGACACACGAGCAAAGCACACTTTGCAGCGAGCATTCAACGAAAATGGAGTCATTTTTGGAAAACGAAGATTTAAATGGGAATTTCGAAACACGATGGGATCGAATTGAAAAGAGGCACATCAATTCGGCCATTGTCTACGAGCGAACGGACGCAGCAGCCGAAATTTGTAAAAATCTGATACAAAACAAAGAATTTGTGACGGAGAATCATTTGAAGACGTTGCTCGGTGAAAAACCGAAGAGACTTTGTTTGGATCCCAATCTCGTGATGGATTTACGACACTCAAAAGTAAGTTTATTTTCTTTCTTTTTTACTTGGTTTTTCATCTGAAGTTGTTTTCTTCAAGACGTCGACGTATATGATTTTCTAATTTAAATACAAATTTGTTCAACAACAATAGTTTTGCAACGTTCATTTAAATAAAAAAAAATTATTGCACCGTAATAAATTCCATTTTTAGGTTCGAAGACGTAATAAAAGTGCCACATCGACAATCCGACGACGTGCAAAAAGTTTTGTGGACGAACGCCTGCATATACAAAAAATGTTTGAGTTAAATCGCGAAATTCTCAAGTTTAAAAAAAGTTTGGAGAACATTCGACCCAAGACGGACGAGTACAAGTCAAATGTCATATGCAACTCAGCATGTTCGGAGAGTGATTTGAAATTTAATATGCTATTCCGCACAGTTAGCGATGATGATGATGAACAAGTTCGACCGCAAAGCTGCACGATAAAGGAATTAGAAATGGCCAAAAATGGACCAAGAGTAGAAGAGAAAGAAGCGAAAGAAGAAAGAGAAGAAGAAGAAGAATCAGAAGAAGTCGAAGAAGAAGAAACATATGACGTCGAATATAATGATAATCAAATGACTAGGTCATTGTCACCATTCACAATTCCATCTGAATATTTGATAGACGAAAGTTATACGACAAACGGTATAGACGTCGATAATTCAGTACAACAGCAACTGATTCGAAAAGAACCCGAAATCGTATCACCGTGCAGTTCAATGCAAACGGAACTGCAGACAGTGATTTCGCCACAGCCAATATCACAAGAGATACGCCAATTGCATGAAGATTTTGAGTTTATCATCAAACCAACGATTATGGTGAATATTCAGGACACGATACATCCGAATTTACCTTATCAATTTGATTGTGATCGTTCTGAATGCCAAGCAAAGCCAACTAGTTTTCTTCGTGAAAGTAAAATTGCCGTCAATCAACATATGTCAATTCTCATCAAAAAACTATCGACTGAAATTGTCGACAAGAAAAGCACTTACGATTTCTACATGAATGAATCGACCGAAGGGAATGACATCATTAGAGATGTCTTCAATAAAAAATCGCAGGATAACTTTTTGATTTTACAAAAATATTTCCTTCGGTGGGTTCATTTTAATACGATTGAAAAGTTGCGGCGTCGCAATCCAGCACAGACTCGACTACAGAAAATGGAAGCATTCCTGCAGAATATTACGCTGGAACGGAAACGAGCATTGCATAAATTGCGACGGCCGGGAAATATAATGGCATCAAGTCATGGCGATGAGTATAAACGAATGGCGTTGCAAGATCCATGCGCTAAATCACCACGTTTGCTTATGAGAACATACAATAACAAGTAAGCGGTATTCTAACGTTCATCAAAATATTTTCCATAAAAGTAACTTTTGCAAGAATTAAGAAGAGAAATTACCTCTGGAGATCGAATTTTTTTTTGGAAATTATTTAACGAAAAGTACTTCTGTTAATAAATCATTTTCATTCATAGGCTCAAAACTCAGCAAGACATCATTGAATTGCAGAAAATCAAATTGCAGCGCCAGCAACGCATCATTACCGAAATGAAACTTTCGAAATTGCTCGAAGATACGAGCGAAGCTGAGAGTCACCTTAAAGAGGAATTGAGTATGGTTGCTCGGACTGGATGCCAAAATTCTCGATCAAAAGCCAAGTGCTTGCAAATTGCGGGCAATCTGAAGGATAAAGAGGATGACATAAATACTGATCTACAGGCCAAGGGAATAACAGCACCAAAATTTCTCATAGAAATGCAAGCGAGGGCTTTAGAGCGTGAAATGAGACACCAAGAAGCACAACGTCGTCGTGAAGCCTTAGAACGTGAGAAAGAAGCATTGAAATTGGCCGCTGAAGAAGAAAAGGTAACTGAGATTGACACAGAATTGAAATCGTATTTGGAACTTGATAATTGGCAATGCCAATTCGGCATTATGCCGTTTATTTTCTATTATTATCTAAAAAAGATTGAGTCTTTTGCTTTTATAAAACTTGAAAACTAAGTAACCAAAGTGTCTTCTTTTTATAGATATATTTTTTGTTATTCCATAAATTAAATGCACTCCCCTTGATATCCAAACAGCGTCTCCTGAATGAGGAATCGAAACGCGATCGCATCAGAGAGTATTGGCGTAAACGGCGTTTTGAGAAGGAGCTCGAAGCGAAGAAAGCCGTTGAACGTATGAAATTCCTTGCAAATATGGAGCTGGCGAAGACATTCTGCCGTTCACAGCAACTAAAATGGTCCATGGAGAAGTTTAAAAACCTTATCCGTTGGAAGAATCGCAACAAAATAGTGAGCACTGAGCTTCGTCAGCGAATTCTCTACCGGGACTATTTCCAAAAGTGGCGAAAACTCACCGTTCGCATTTGGGATGAGCGAAAAGCAAAGGCTGATGCATGCTATAATCTTCACTGCAAATTGAGCGCATGGTCAAAGTGGCAAGAATTCTTCCTGATTGCACAGAGTAAAAAACTTTTGGCAGATGATTGGTACCATTTACGACTATCAGAGCGTGTATTCCGTGCTTGGAATCGGGTGACAGCACAAACGAGACTGGTGTTTGAGATCAAAACCAAACAAGCCGAAGCACATTTCAACTGGTAAACAAACAAAATTTTTTGTTGAATTTTCTGTTGTAACTTTTGAATGCCTTTTTTACAGGTACATGAAGTGGAAAGTAGTAGAGCATTGGCGACGCTTACACGCTATTCTCAAGATTGAAAAAGAAACCGAAGCTCGTCGCGAACGCTGGAGAAGCAAAATCTATGAGCTGATTCCCGATTACACGCCAAACGTCGAATTTATTTGAACTTTTAAATCAGATATCGTTTTATTCATATCGTTCTCATGATTCCATTACAAATTAAATATACAAAAAAGTAACATGACAATGCTGTTTTTTTATTGTTCTTTGAGTTTGGCAAGAATTTCTGCTGTTACTTCAAACTTTGGCCCATGCCCGGGTACAATAACTCCTGCCATTTCAGCAATTCGCAGTCGATTCTTCTTCTGAATGTCGATTGAATCGCTGCCAGCACCAACCCAAATAAGTTCATGGAAGCAATCCTCTCGCTTCTCATACAAATCACCACAAATCGCCACCGGTTTTGATGATAAATCGCTATTCTCAACAATCAGAGATATTGAGTCGAGCGTGTGACCGGGAGTTGGTGTGATGTAAATGCCATCGTCGATGGGGTAGTTGGTTTCGTCTTCAATCGATCGATATTCATTCTTGTTTGATATCCCTCGGCCGACAATGTGCTCTTTCGCATTCAAAAACAAGTAATTACAGCCAACATGATCGCTGTGCCCGTGTGTGCATACAACATGTGTGATGTCATCGGTGCTTAGGCCGTGCTTTGGCAATTCTGTTCAAAAAGAAAATTAATGAAGTATTTAGAATATTTAGACGGATACCCAAATAAAAGAGTCCAAACTAAATTTCATCGTGATTTAGATTGGAAGTGAAAGTTCAAAAAATTGTTCAAAATGGTCATCTGATGTGCTTGACATTCATCATATTAAATAAGTCAGTATATCGATGATTATAATCATTTGTAATGATAATCAATGACAAGTTCTCATTATAACATAAGTTCCATAAACAAATGTACCATCAACAATTTGCTTGCCATCCCAAGCGGTTCTGGTATCAACAATTGTGCAAGTATTTTTTCCTTTCACCAGTGTACAAGTACAATTGGCAAGCATTTTGGAGTCGTTAATCACTTCCGAGTAGCCATCAAACAATACAATCACTTTGTTCTGATGCTCGTTCCCTTGACTCATCTTTTTTGCTCTCGACCGCTTTGATTTGAAACACTTTTTCTTTCGATGCAAGTTTTTTTTCTCCTTCTTCCAATGAAATAAATCTTGTGTTAACAATTGTTTACAAAAACTAACCTCAACTTTCATCTGTCTATATCAGCTGTCGCAAAGCAAACGCCGTTGCCGCACACAAAGGCATGTATTCAGTGAACAAATACACTGAAACGTATTGAAAAGAACGAATGAGCGAAACATTCTAAAGAAATGGAAGGAACGTATTGTTCCAAAGCAGAAATCACGTTGAGAAATATTCTGTTCCATGAACAGTGTTCACACAATATGAACAAATTTCGTATTTTGTATTTATCGAGAGAAAGAAATTGGTTTTTGTTGACAGAGAATAATATATTTTCATTCGATGTAATTCTCAATGCTATGTGTATGTGTGTTTGCAACGAAAAAAAAGTCCCGCCAAAAGTACAACAAAACACTGACCCAAACCAATGAAATACCGAGAATTTTACGCGCGTTCAACTTGCATTGAAATGCCGAACGAGAAAATGTGAGAATCGAAATGACGAATGGGAGAGAGTGCAAGAAAAACGATATGTATGACAGTCCGTTCGTTGCCGCTAGCTTCGCGAAGCAAGCGTATACGTACGTATGGTGTGATTTTGGGTTCGTTGATGCTGCGACATTCCATTCATATCAGTCGTATTTGTGCAATTCATTTGAGTAGTACTTCCTCACCAAGTATAATCGTGTGGTTTTTTCCATAGCAATCATTTGTGCTAAATTCACTGCGAAACACGCATTGCATCAATTTCCACATAGTGTTAATCGCATTGAATATTAAAAATCAATAGAAACGCAACGGAATTGTAGCGAAATCAATTGGATTTGTTGGTTTCGAAAAGAAATTAGTGATACAAAAGGCAGAAAGAAAAACGTGCCATCGCACTTTCAGTTGATGTGCAGCCGTTTCATGAGTACAATCCGACATCAATTGCCACACACGATGAAATATATTTTGGTGACGGGAGGTGTAATCAGTGGCGTGGGCAAAGGTGTTATTGCCAGTTCATTTGGAACATTGCTGAATTGTTGTGGCATCGATGTGACTTCCATAAAAATTGATCCATATATCAATATCGACGCCGGAACGTTTTCACCATACGAACACGGTACGTAGAACACGATTTTAGTTGTCAAGTGCGTGTGCCATTTCATGAGAAACTACTTCCGATCATTTCATTGCCAATATCAATAGTGATAAATTCGGTTGTGAGCCGCGTTTCTTTTTCTTGCTTTCGTTCGATTTCCAACTATCGATTCGAATAAATGATCATAAAAGGATATTCATATTTACGTGCCATTGTTAATGCAATAGAGGCATATTTTCAAGGACTTCACCTTAACCAAAGGGAAAAAAATCGACGACGAAAAATACTAGAGAGAAATTATGTGTCGTAGTTTTCATCAGAACAAATACAAATTTAGCCTGGCTATAGAGAGAGAGAGAGAGAGAGAGAGAGAGATAGAGATACATACAGATGTTCAGATTTTGTGCGCATGTTTGTTTTGTGAAGTGAAAACCACGTGTTTCAGCAATGCTTGTACGGTCGCTAGTCTATATACACATATTGTGGTTATACACGCGCCGTCTAAACAAAGTTTACATTCACTAACTCGTTTTTGATTCCGTTAAATTAGTGCAATTTTTGTTTTTGATGCAATTGTTGATTCCGAGACGATTGTGGATTTCATCGCGATTTTCGGTTGCTTTCTGTATTTTATATTTAATTCGTCTCGTAAACAATACTGACATAAATATCTGTACACTGTTTATATTTATTGTAAGTCAATTTGGCGAGACAGTGTTTATTAATCATTTTGTTGTTTATTTCGTTCATTCGAACATAAAAAAAACAGGTGAAGTTTATGTACTTGACGATGGTGGTGAAGTTGATTTGGATTTGGGCAACTATGAACGATTTTTGGATATTTCATTGTGCAAGGACAACAATATTACCACCGGAAAAATCTATAAACAGGTCATTGAGAAGGAGCGACGTGGTGATTATCTAGGGAAAACTGTTCAAGTTGTCCCGCACATCACAGATTCCATCCAGGAATGGGTTGAACGAGTCGCACAACGACCAGTCAAAGATGATAAGAAGCCACAAGTTTGCGTTATAGAACTTGGTGGAACCATTGGTGATATTGAAGGCATGCCTTTCGTTGAAGCATTTAGGTACATATCCAATTTCTAAAGGGACAGAGAAATTTGTTTCAACAAACACTTTGTTTACGTGATTTGTTTTCCTTCAATTTTGCATTCAATTCGATACGTTCAAAAGTGGTTTTTGTTCACATTCAAGTGTTTTATTTGAAATATGAGCATTGCAACGGATTTTTGAATTGTAAACAATGAAAATTGATCGATTTTCAACTATCAAAAAAATAACAACCATTCGCTTTGCTTCCAATTACAGACAATTCCAATTCCGTGTGAAACGTGAAAATTTCTGTGTTGCACACGTTTCGTTGGTGCCAATGCCGCGTTCAACCGGTGAACCAAAGACAAAACCAACACAATCGAGTGTTCGTGAATTGCGTGGCTTGGGTTTGAGCCCCGATTTGATTGTGTGCCGCTCCGAACGTCCAATCGGACAAGAAGTTAAGGATAAAATCAGTAATTTCTGCCATGTTGGACCCGAGCAAGTGATTTGCATTCCCGATTTGTCTTCCATTTATCATGTACCATTGGAAATGGAAGCGAATGGTGTGCTCAGCTTCCTGAAAGATCGATTACAGCTGAACATTCCCGATCCATTTACAAAGCAAACAATGCAACGTTGGCGAGAATTGGCAAATCGTGTTGATAACACACGTGGTGAAGTGAAAATCTCATTAGTTGGCAAATACACGAAATTGGAGGATTCGTATGCATCAGTATCGAAATCTCTTCAGCATGCAGCAATTGCGGCTGGGTTTAAGTTGAATTTGAAATTCATTGAAGCATGCCACTTGGAACGAAACATCAAGAAGGACAATCAATTGTTGTACTATCAGGCATGGCAGGAGCTGTGCAACAGTGACGGTGTCATTGTTCCAGGCGGTTTTGGTTCGCGCGGTATGGAAGGAAAGATCCGTGCCTGTCAGTGGTGCCGTGAAAACAAGAAGCCATTCTTGGGTATTTGCTTGGGCATGCAAGCGGCTGTCATTGAATTCGCCAGAAATATCGTCGGTTGTGAGGGAGCAAACACAACGGAAATTGAAAAAGACGTAAAACATCCATTGGTTATCGACATGCCGGAACATCATACTGGCACAATGGGTGGCACAATGCGATTGGGTAAACGCACAACAATCTTCAAGGAAAATTGCACAAGTACAATCAGTAAGTAGTGCAATAAAAAGAAATCATATCCAAACGGGAAGAGAACAAATTCTCGATTTTCTTATCTAGCCGAAAATCTAGGCTAATTTTCTTCGTAATATTCAATTTATTTGGTTTTTTTGTTTGTTTATTTGTTGAATTTTAACTAATTTGTTGATATTTTTGCAGAAAAATTGTATGGATCGCCAAAATCAGTGGATGAACGACATCGGCATCGTTACGAAATTAATCCAGAGTATGTGCAACGGCTCGAAGAGGCTGGCATGAAATTTGTCGGCACTGACGAAGAGAACAAACGAATGGAAATCGTTGAATTAGATAATCATCCATATTATGTAGGAGTTCAATATCATCCAGAGTACTTATCACGCCCCCTCAAACCATCACCACCATTCATGGGATTGATTTTAGCTTCAGTTGGCAAATTGAAAGGATACTTAAACAAAGGTTGTCGTCTATCGCCTCGGGAAATGAGCGATAACAGTTCAGGTAAGGAAAAATTCGAAAAGATTGGATCTTAACTCTTTGAATTGTTCGATTTAACTATAAATTTCAAATGGTTTGTCCATGAACGAACCTCTTTGAAGAATTTCAAACTAATCGATTCGTTCCGACATTCCAGATGATGATGATATTCCAGTGCAAACGACCAACCTCACAAACGGCATCAACAACATCCACTTGAACGGGACCGCTACCAGTTCAAGTAACGATGAGTATGAAAAATGATATGAACAGTCCAAATGGAACCAAGGAATAGGCTTCCATACAATGTTTTTTTAGAAAGAAACAAAATTGTTATGATAAGAAACAAAAAATCACTGACGACAGACTCGAAATTGCAGAACACTAATAAGTGCATCAGAAATGAATCAAATTAATTTGTTTGTATCCAGAAGAAAATGATATTTTCATATATTTGATAAATTGTATTATAAAAAAAGAAGAAACAAATCGAAAAGCCATTATATTTTGGAATTACATGAATAAATTATCTTTGCATTCGATTAATGTTGGAGTTTTGTCGCATTTTATGCTGGCTTTGATGGAGCTGCCCGAAAGTTTTCATAGTATGATTTTGTGAAGTCAATCATTAGGTCTTGCATTGCGGGTGGAACGAAATTTGGATTGCCTTGATCGCCTTGAATCGTTCCTTTAGCTGTGAATTTCATAAAACTAGCGACAGTCGTTTCGGGCGGCACCACTGCTCCATCTTCGATGATGCAGCAATCACGTATCGTACAACGACGACCCTATAATATATCAATTTACATCAGCATTATCAAAATGGAAAAATGTTGGAAAAAATGGAGTTGTGTTTAAAAATGAATTCAATTGTTCTTCAAGACACACTCACAATGATGGCATTCTTTCCAATGTACACATATGAACCGATTGATGCTGCTGAGACGACCGCACCTTCGCCAATGTACACATGCTCACCAATCACCAGTGGAAAGAAAGCAATTCTGTGGAAATAAGGGATGAGTTAGATATTTGTTTATCAAAAATAGGTAAGGTTTCATCAAAATGAAAACACACTCAAGCAAACGAAATTGGAACCACAAAAATGGACTTTTAGCATTCGAATCAGTGGGAGTGGCAAAATTTGCACACTAAACACAAATTCTTTCCAAACTCAAAACTGAGGTGATTCTATGTCGAGAACCGTTTCGAAAAGAATTGATCGATTTGAAATAAACAGAGACAGACAGAAAACACTAACCCGGTGCTGAATTGCTTGTAAGCGGGTCGAATGACTGCCTTCTGGCTGATCACACAATACCGTCCGGTTCGCACATTCGACAGGTCACCACGGATAATAGCGCCAGTTTGAACGATGACCTTTCCATTTAGCACGATATTCTGCGATCCACACAGAACCGTCTTTCGGCTCACCTTATTCCCAGACGCCTGGAATGAGGAACAGAGAGAAGAAACGTGTCAATTTTGGTGAACATTCACTTTTTGGAGAATCATTCAATTCGGTGAATTGCATTAAAATTGGCAGCAATTACATACCGTTTCAATGTATTCCTCCTTATCATAGGTGACTGGCACAATTTCCATCTTCAGGTGATTTGATGTCAAATCAAAATTTCCTGAAAAAAGGCACGTAAAATGTAGATTTTCTTCCGTATTCTTTTTTAATCAATGCATAAAAAACACAAAATTGTTTGCGTTAAAGGCTGTCAACAGTGACGCAGAAATTTTCTGTCAAATCATTTTGACTGTCATTACGAACAAATGTATCAGATTCCATTTCGTTCTATTTCGTTTCGTATGTTTCGTAAAATGAGCAGGAATTGGCGCGAATCGCTGTCAAACTTTGACATTTCTTCATTTCATTTCATTTGTGTATAGACAAACGGACAGTCGGTTCGCTACCTGCAAATTTGTGATTTTTTTCGTGTTTTTTTCTCGTCTTTTTTTCGATTTTTTCCACACCATTTTTGTATATAACCCGTTTTCTTTGTCATGCATATTTAACAGTTTTAGTCCTTTTGATACAAATTAATTTGAATTATACCACACAAACCAAAATTTCTTCTACCTGACGAACCGATTAAAATCGACATCAGACGAGTATACGCGATATCGTTCAACAAGGTAAAATACATGCATATATAAGGTCTATACTATATATCTTGTGTTTTTGGTTGGAATTCAAAAGAAAAAAGCATATTGTTTAGACTTGGTTCAAACTGTTGTCAACTCGTAGCTTAGTTTTTTTTTGTACGAACAAAAACCGCATGTGGCGAATAAATTGCGACGCAATAGCGGGATTCTATCGAATCACGGCGATCATTCTTCGGCTCATTCGAAATATAGCAAGTAGAATCATTGCATGTTTCGTCCAACGCTCAAATTAATTTGTGTTTCCGTGTTTTATTTTTCTCGTCAGACTATCAATTTGTTCGAATAAAGAACATTCCAAAGATGGCACCAGAAGATGATCTTGATTTGCCACAGACACAAAGTCAGTCGCACAACACACAAGATCAGGTATTCTCACAAGATGCCGACGAGGGCAAAGATGTTTGGGGCCGTTTGATTGCCAAGCACAAATCATTCAATAATTTCGGTAGGTATTCATGATTTTTTTCCGAATTTTTGCTTCACGTTTTCGGCCGGCTTTCATTTGGCAACAATTTATTTGTAATTTTCAATTCATTGTGTGTTAAGATCTGACAAGTGACACATTTACTGCTGGCCGAGCTACCAGCTGTGATTACAGTTTATCGGCAGAGCAGATCAAGCAGAAGCTCCTCGTGCAAATGTCAAAGCGACACTTCCAAATCACACGAAATCTCACAGAAGTCGACAGTCCTGTGTATATCGAGGTAATTTAGCAAGTAAACTCATTTCAAAGTAATGAATTCAAATGTTAAATTCGCAATGTTCACAATTTTCTTCGAAAATCCCTTAGGATTTGTCTCGAAATGGTACATTCGTTAACGAAGAAAAGATTGGACTGAACAAAAAACGCATTTTAGCCCACGGTGACACCATTGCGATTGCAATCGCAAAGATGCCAGCATTTCTCTTCAGAGATCATCGTCGACAGTCTAACGATTTGCCGGAAGAAATTGCAAAAAAATATTACAAGAGCACAAAACTCGGATCCGGCGCATGTGGAACCGTTTTTCTTGTGTACAAATACCGTACGTGCCAGAAGTTTGCAATGAAACACATCAAGAAAAATCTTTTAGTCGATTACAAAACCGATAAGTCGTTGAATGAAGCGCGAATCATGAAAAGTTTGACGCATCCGTGCATTGTGAAAATGCATGAAATTGTCGATTGCTCGGATTCTGTATACATCACATTGGAGCTGATGAAAGGAGGCGAATTGTTGACGCGCATCCAAAAGAAGCGATACCTAAGCGAATCCAACGCAAAGGTATTCTTCTACCAGATGTGCCATGCGATTAAGTACTTGCACGAGCGCAAGATTACTCACCGAGACTTGAAACCGGACAACATTTTGTTGGCATCGGCAGAGGAGAACACGTTACTCAAGATCTCCGATTTTGGCCTCAGCAAATTGGTTAAAAACAACTCTGTGTTGAAGACACTCTGCGGTACACCACTGTAAGTTGACGTTTCGGGTGATTTAGCACTCAATTTTTTGCGTTAATTTGACATTAAATTCATTTTTTGTTGGATTTAACATCAAAACGTTTACATTTTCCCACAGATATGTTGCCCCAGAGGTGTTGTTAACGAATGGAAAAGGTGAATACACCGAGAAGGTAGACATCTGGAGCTTGGGAGTAGTCCTCTTCACGATGCTCTCAGGCACGCTCCCCTTCGCAGATGACTATGGTAGTCCAGCACAAGAGCAGATCAAAACAGGAAACTTCCAGTTCAGATCGAGCAACTGGCGACATGTATCGAGAACGGCAAAAGATCTCATCAAGGATTTGCTCACCACTGACGTGAAAAAGCGGCCATCCATTGATCAATTGATACAAACGAAGTGGCTTCGTGACAGCGACATGATCACGACGGCACACAATATCATGGGTTTGAAAGTACCCCAACACTATCAAACAAACGCTACGCGATTGGCAATCCACGCACCGCGCACCACTGCCAATTCGGGCTCAGATCACGGCTTCTTACGGCCATACGCCGTTGACATTGACAGCGAGAATATACAACCATCAAAAAAACGCCGGTTACACTAAGGGAAAAAAAGAAAAGAAAATTTCGCACGAATGCAATGCCATACGCCAGATGATTTGCATGATTTATACGATCATAGCATTCTTTTCATTTGTGATTTACGATTAGTACAATTTATACACGTTCATTCAGTTCAGAAAGAGTGAACAATAACCTCACATACAAACAAAGAGAAAAACTAACCAAAACGTACAAAAACCTTTGATAACAAACAATTTTTGCCAAAAAACATTTATCTCAGAACAATGACTTAAGTCAAGAAAGCCCAGTATTGATATTGTACAAATATCGCATAACAACAAATAGTATAGCAAACATTTTGATAAAAAACAAATCGGAGAAATTTTTTTTTCGAGAAAAACAAAAACAATAGGGTCAGAATACGGAGTTGAATTAAAAAGAACGAATATTTTAGGTTATAACTAGGCTCTAGATTTTTCTACCTACAACCATGACATGACGCAATGAATACATCGGTTCCAGGGCAATAGTTCTACCGATTGAAGAGATCAGATCGACGTACAGAGAAGGAAACATTTTACTATGGAAAGGAAAATGTATCGAATCAAAAATGTTAGCTTCGCCTTAATTAGGGATTTAATTGGAAATACCATACATTGTCGTGCAATTCGCATGTAAATAAATTTACCAAAAATTATCGCTTTGTCATTTTCTTTTATACCAACAAAGATTCCTTGCCAAAGAACAGAATCACCTTGATTTCGTCTAAAGCCAAACGAGAATTTCGCAATCTATTTATTCGTTCTTGATTAGAAAAAAATCATTTGTCGACTTATGTCTCTCTTCTGAATCATATGCACGTATCATATCGTCGGTGGATTGGAATATTCCACTCCCTCACCATCGGAATCATAGAGCCATCCTTTTGATCAGAATTAATTGACAGTTTGGCATCGATGCTGAGTATAAATATTGACCAACTCTGCGGTTTAAAATGCAATGTAATGTCAGATTCTGAAATTTCGTTCAAGTTTATTTGCGCTAAATAACTCGTTTAGCATCCACGTGAATCGCCAACTCGTTTATCTGTTGTCCGAAATCGGTTGCCAAATTAAAACTCAGAAATCAGTTAGAAACATTTTGAAAATTCGCTATTTATCATTTGTTTCGCGTCAACTTCATAGTTGTTGTGTTGCAAAAACATCTGATACAAAGAGTTCGTGGTTTGGCCACCAGAGCACCGCATACATACTCAATTAGTGTGTGATATGAGTGTATTTGGCGTAATGTCGCATGCACACATACACAATAAACCAACAAAAAAATCATAACAAATGGATTGGTATTCGTTCAGTATCATCATTCGTGTGTCAAAATATTACAAAGCAGATTTTCTTTTCGTTCATATTTGTTCACTTGGCTCTCTCTCTCAGTGTGTTGGCTAAAGTAAAAATTGAAGTTTTGAGTGTGTAGCACATAAATATTAGTTGTAATCGTTTTTATATGTTCAAATTTAAATTTAAGTAAAAATGAAAAATTGAAACAGCACATTTGGCCAACTAGTTTGTCAGAAAAAAAATGTACTGAGAGCAGAGAAAAAAAATTTGTCGTATGAATCGAGCAGAGAAGCAGATAGCGAAGAGAAAAAAAAGATCTCCCAGTTCTGTGTGTCGACTTACATTGAAGTGAGACAAAACTGAAAGTCATTGCGATTACAATTTTTTCGGTGGCGTGTTGTGGTTAGCCTTTGAATTTTAATTGCAATTGTGTAAAAGACAGGGAGAAAAAAAACACGGGAAAAGTGAAGGAAATTTACATTTACGGTATCGAGCAGAAGAGACAGTGCGTGTGAGAAGACAAAGAAATGAGCGAGCTAACACCAGAAGAGGTAATTAATTTGTTGTAACAATTTTTCTCGCTCTCTCTCTCTCTCCCTCTCTTTGTGCCCATGTAACCACTCATATGATGGTACGATTCATGTCGATATGCGTGATTGCTTTTATTATGCACGTATTTATGATTTCGTAATTTTTTTCATTTTGACCCAATCAGTGCAAGAAAACTGTATTTTCTTTTCTGCTTCGCACAAATGACAATGAGAACGAACAAATTATACACTTAGAAACGAACGCTACGAACAAAGACGCTTACATCGTAATTTCAGATTCGTTTTTTTTCTACATATTTTGGCACACGATCAAAATGCCAAGCGATCATATACACACAAACGCAGCCGTTGTTGTTTTTCGCCTTAATGCGATTGCCTTTTTTTCTGCGTATTTTCCAATCGGCGTTGAAAAAAAAACAACGACGCTATTTCAATGGTGCCAATGTCCGAGTCGCAATTAGGTGCCAAAACTCATTTTTGAAAAATACAAATCTATTAAGCATAACAACTTTCAAATGTGTGCTGTTTTTTTTTTGATGATGTTTTTCATGTTTATTTTTAATTTTTTATGAATTTAGATGCGAGCACGTCGCTTGCGTCGTCTCGGTTTGATTGGTGGAGATACATCGTTGACGGCCACATCATCGGCCGATAATCCATCGCACGCCAATACCACTACTGCTGAACTGACTGAAAATCTTGCCAAATCCTCATCAAATACTGCCGCTAAGAATATGTGTCCAGAGTTTGAAGAGCGCGATGAAAATCAGCATAAGCAAAAATTACAAAAGTTTGACAACGAAGTCGATATGGAATTTGCACTGAACAATAATGAACCGTTGAGTCTGCGCAGCTCCGATGCTAAAACAGTATCGAATCACTTAACACAACGATCTCGTTTGTTGGACGAAATTGAAAAGCAACGCATTGAGAATAAGCTCAATCAAAATGAATCGAAACCGACTGAGCTTACACGCCAAGACGTTGACATGGAGTCGGAATATAATGCGCCGAACAAATCGGCTGAAGGTGATTCGGGTATTGAAAATATGGAAACTGATGAATTGCCAGCCGCTGTGGAATCATCATTGGTCACAAAAACACCGATTGTTGAACTGGTTGTGCTGACACCAGAAGCAAAGGAACGCGAAGCCGAGATTTGCTTGTCACGTATTTTGGATGCATTTTGGCTTGATCACTGCGAAGGTTCGATTATCGTTTCGGAAACGGCTACTTTCTACAAGGACATCGTCATTGACGAAGAGTATCCGATTCAGTTTGATGATTTTGCGTTTCAAATCATAACCGAAATTGTGGCACAGTATTTCGATGGGAAGCGCATCGATTTCAAAGCGAGTGGAAGCGATTCGACAACCAAAAACCCCTTGGCCGGTGTGGCAGTGGCAGGTGAATCAGAACGAATGGACACCAACGAAACGAGTTGCTCGACGACACCAAATTTAAAACCACACAATTTACCCGATCACGGCGCATTGACTTACTTGATTCAATCGTATTTGCGGTGCCGTCATGAACAAGAACGATATAGCACCGCTAGAAGTCGCCAAAAATTCGATTCGGTCGTTCTTGACGTTGTGGCAAAAGTGAAAAAGTTGCTGATCTCAAGCGCCAAGCTCCTATTGAACGGAACCATGGTCAAACAGCTTCGATCCAGTACACATGCACAAACGCATCGTTCAATTCTATTGAAGATGATGTATGACGATGCGGTGCCATCGGATTTTCTGTGCTTACTCATCGAAGAATCGCACAACGAACCGAAAATATTTGCCAAAATTTTCGGAACGCTCATACAAAATCTGTATGTGGATATGCAGAGCCGTGTTGTTAGCAAAAACATTGACACATCACCCATTAACATTTTGAAACAACTACTCGAAATCACGATCAACGGAAACATTCGGCCAATGTGTAATTTGGTCTGTGGCCTACAGAATTTCTGTCCGACTTTGTGCACCGCTACACAAGGTAGAGAAATTGTTAAGGCAAGCTATTTGGGACCATTCTTATCGCTGTCGGTCTTTAGCGAAGAAAATCCAAAACTTGCCGAGGATGTCGACGAAAACTGGGAAGAAACTTTTGGAAACAGTTTGCGAATGGTATGTGTTGGTTCAGTAGTTGGAAAATACTTCATTTGGCTCATACATAATGAAAACAATCCAGACTTTTCGACAAACAATTTATTTTTTCAACCTTTTTCTCTTTCCAGCACTTGGACCAAATGCGAAGCCAATTGCATTTGATATTCCACAGTTTGGTTCGAAGTCCCGAAAATCGTGCTCAGGTGCTAAGATTCCTATCGCAAGTGCTGCTGAGCAACGAGAAACGTACACAATTTCATTCGGAAGAGAAGAAACTGGGTCGCGATGGTTTCATGTTGAATGTTATGTCTGTGCTACAAAAGTTGTCAATCAAAATTAAGTTGGATCGTGTCGATCCAAAGTATCCATTCAACAGCAAATCATTGATAACCATTGAAAAGGACACAAAAATCCGCTTCGACGATACGGAATACAAGAATTGGGTATCGTCAGCAAGTAAGTTTTTACTTAAACCGATTTTATGTCAAATCATTTAACCTGAAAAAATTTCTCTCTCCAAGCAGTCAATACTCGGAATACGGACCCCAATCCACCAAACTTTTCGACAGAATGTTGGTTTTTGACGTTGCACGCACATCATTTGGCCATCATGCCAGCCATCCAACGGTACAACAAGCGTTTGCGTGCAATCAAGGAAATCCGACGCATGATCGAAGAACTGAACAACACCAAATCACAATGGGAAAACTCAATACATCGCATGCGAAACAATCAACTCATCGAACGTTTCACACATCAATTGAAAAAATTAAACAAGTAATTTCATTTTTGAGCTCACTACTACCTTGGAGTGAATTTGGAATGACTTTGTTTTTATTATTTTTAGGGCGAAAAAATGCTGTGATGTTGGTCTGTTGGATCCGATCATTATCGACACCTGCATGACTTTCTACAGTTCAGTTTGCGAATTTATTTTGTATCAAATGGAAGGTCGCGATGTGGATGGATTGTTCATGACATCGATTCGACCGCAACAACTCAAGCCAACGGCTGTTTTATCCGCGTTGCCGGAATGGTATGTCGAAGATATCGCCGATTTTATTCTCTTCAACATGCAGTAAGTATCGTTTGGAGTTGTTCGTTCAATTTTTCAGTAACTTGAAGTGTTTGACAATTTTCATGAAGAATTGAACAAAACGTCAATATTCTTGTCTGAATTAAATATCAATTTTTGTGCATTTGAACAGATTCCGACAGGAGAAAATGTTGACACTGTTCGATGACTCGATTAAAACATGGATATTGACATGCGTTTGTGCACCACAATGCATTCGCAACCCATATGTGACGGCTAAATTGGTTGAGGTTTTATTTGTTATTTCGCCCAGTGTCCAACCAAATTCAGGTCTACAGTTCTCCGTAAGTAACATCTCTACTACACAATCAACTTTGTTGTTTGGCAATCGGAAAAATTGGCTCAATCTTTTTTTAAATTCATATTGCAAACTGTTGAGCGTTAGCCCAATCTTTTCTGCAACATGTTGAATGTTGTTATTTTGAACTGAGTCTTGAATTGATATTTACAACTGACCGTAATTCTAATCTATAGGTTATGAATCATCCACTCGTACAGACGGATTTGGTTGGTGCTCTCATGAAATTCTACACGGATATCGAAACAACAGGCCAAAGTACTGAGTTCTATGATAAGTTTACTATACGGTGAGTTCAATAAGAGGTCTTTTCTGTCTACTTTTCGTTAGAATATCAAACACCAATCAATCAAAACATGGCGATAATTTTTCGTCTCGTTCGTCAACCTTTTCCATTCTCCTTTGGCAATCATTTTTTTAACTCTTCGAATTCATTCACAGGTATCACATAAGTCATTTGTTCAAAACAATGTGGAATAACCCAACACAGCGTCAGGTGATTGTCAACGAATCAAAGAATGGTGCACAGTTTGTAAAATTCGTGAATATGCTTATGAACGATACGACATTTTTGCTTGACGAATGTCTCGAGTACTTGAAGCGAATTCACGAGACACAAGTATTGATGATGGATGAGGCTGCGTGGAAGGCATTAAGCTCGGAAATTCAACAATCACGTCAACGACAGTTGATGCAAGATGAACGCCAGTGTCGTTCATACTTGACATTGGGTAAAGAGACTGTTGAAATGTTCCACTATCTCACCATTGATATCAAAGAGCCATTCCTTCGTCCGGAATTGATTGACCGTTTGGCATCGATGCTGAATTTCAATATGCACCAACTGTGCGGTCCAAAATGCAATGATCTGAAAGTTCGTTCACCGCAGAAATTTGGTTGGGATCCACGTGGATTGCTCACCCGTTTGTTTGACATCTATCTTCACTTGAGCTGCGACGAATTTGCCGCTGCCATTGCTGCCGACGAACGTTCGTTTGACAAAAACTTTTTCGAACGAGTGGCCGTTCGCATCAACGAAATGAAACTACGATCTTCGGTGGAAATCGAACAATTCCGAGATCTCGTTGTTCGGGCTCATGATAAATACGGTAAATTTTTTCATTTTTTTTTACTCGTTTGTTATTAGGAAAAAAACAACACAAGTTTTTTCCAGATAATTTTTTCTAGGAGCAGAATAGCTCTGTCAGACTTGAACACTTTTCAAACTATTGAAAAAAAAAACATGTTTCTAATTTATTTCCATATCTTCTGCAGTTGCCAATCAACAAATCGAAGACGATTACGCCGATGCTCCCGACGAATTCCGTGATCCTCTTATGGACACGTTGATGACTGATCCGGTAATTTTACCATCGGGCAATGTTATGGATCGTTCCATTATCACGCGTCACTTGTTGAACAGCAGCACCGATCCATTCAACCGGCAGCCACTAACTGAAGAGAACCTCCGACCAGATAATGAACTCCGTGAACGTATATTGGCCTGGAAGCGTGACAAACGCGAAAAAACAATCCAACTCAATCCAAACGATAAATGTTAAAAAAAAAAACTCAACAAACAAGCATCAACCAATTGAAGATTGATTTAAAACATTGGTATTAGAATTAAGAAATCGTATTTGAAAAACAAGAAAATCGCTACAGAGAGAGAGAGAGGGGGGGAGAGGATTCTTCTAAGTCGATTGTTATACTTAAGTTATTATCACATACAGAAACAAACAAACAATAGATTTACTGAATCACCCGAACTCACGTGTTAAGTTAAGCGATAAAAATACTATGAATCTGGTTAAAAACCGAACCCCTTCAAAATTACTAATTGTGTATTCGAAAACCGAGTTTAAAACGTGAACATTGCAATCATTACAAGAAGAAAAAAACAAACATTATATTTCTATTACGATCCATCCAAGAACCGCGCATATTTTTTCATTTGCTTCGAATTTTTGATCGGTTCCAAAAAAGAAAAAACGCAGTTTTTTGGTCCTTCAAAGAAAAAATTCGATTTATTTTTCACACAACTTTTTTGAGTATTTTTCTTTCCTTTATTTATGTTGTAAAACAAAACAAAAGATGGAACACACAGAAGAAAAAAAATTAAAACGACTATAAACGTAAATAAGATCTTGGCTTTTATTTATTGCGTTCTTTTTTCATTGATAGGAAAAAAGGTTAATTTATTTGGCAGACCACATATGGTTACGGTGTTGCAACACAGATTTTTACTTAAATTCGGGCACAAATTCACAATGGCTCAATGTCAATCGAATCGAATCGAAAAAAAACGTGTTTTTAATTTGCCTGGCGCCTCATTTGTCAAGAATAAACAGCGTTTTTTTCTCTTCAAATATACGGTAGGTAAACAAGACATGGATTAATCGCAAGCAGCCCATTTGATTTATTGTCGATATTCAAGATTCCATAAAATCCGTTATTTACTAACCATGACATGTGTGGTACGAGTAAACACTCGAGTGGCAAAAAGTAGATTAACGGTGGTTTTAGTCTCGGCTTTGATGTGGGACCTCAATTGGGAATGACTCATATGTGGCATATGGAAAACACAATTTATTTGAACTAAAATTCAATATTGAGACAGTTCGTATGCCAAGAGATGAGGTTAGCTGCAATTGTTTCGGTGCCAATGCCGTTTGCAAAAATATGGAAATCCAAAGTGCGTTCCAATATTTTTTGGCAGCTATATAAATCGATTGGTATCATCATTTATTCCAACAAAAAGCATCGTACTATTCACTCCATCTATATCATTGAATCGCACTTCCTACGGGTAAGACTCATTTTCTGTGAACTTACTGCAATTTATGCTGACTTATCTTATCACAATAGTAACAATTGCTTAATCGATCGACATTTTTTTCTGAAATAATAATCTATTTTAATTTTGATTCGTTCCAGAACTTGCAAATCGTTATCAGTTTGACTCATTTGCGCCGCTAAATTGAACGTAGACAGAAAATCGTCTATCGATAGAAAGAAAAATTTAACGCTCGCACCATTCAAATTGTGTTCTTGTCTGCTGTGCAAAAAGTGTTCAATAAAACGCACAATTGCGTGATTTTATCAATCAATTCTAACAAGGCTTTTGAAGTGAATAGATTAAAATAGTCCGAACAAGTCGGTAAAATTGGCAAAATTTAGCGTATAATTATTAGTTCGGCAAAATTATTCTTGGTCATTTCTCTTTTGCAAGTTTGTCATTATAATTTTAAAAATATGAAATATTCGCCAACTTAAATGAAGGTATAAATAAAGAAAAAGAATTAGGGTCATTCAGCCAATTTCACTTGTTTTTATCATTTTTAAACAGAATTTATCATGCTTCACTACGCTTGTCGTTGCTTGTCTTTTGTTGTTGTTGTTGTTCATCTAGTAGTAATTACTTGTAGATTCTGTATGCATGCTTAACGGTACGTGATTCGAATACAAAATAAAAGTAAAAATGTAATATTTAGATAATATTGTGATTTTTATTTTCTTCTTTTCAAATTTCTATTGCTGTTGTTATGCTTTGACGTTGATGTTGTTTTTTTTCTTTGCAGCGTAAAATCGAAATTGTTTTTTTTCTTGTTGTTGTTGTCACTCTCTGATGTTGCTTACATTTTTTTAGTTTTGATTGACAATACAATTGTTAGCTATCCCCATTGCAAGAAGAACTGATTCATAATTTTTTTTAGTTGTAATTTGTTTTTAGCCATTCCGGTGGGTTTTTCAAGACTGAAGCTCATTCTCTCTGTATCTCTGTCTCAGTCTCTGTCTCTGTCTCTGAATAAAGATCATCATTACACAATGTAACACGCTTTCTTTCCCTCTGTGTTTACTTTTAGTGCACACAAATCGAACACTCGCTCGAACTTCCGTCCGTTCGTCTCTTACAGCTTCACATAAAAATGCGCAGCACTTCTGTGCTAACCCTTAAAAAGTGCTTTTTTCTGTTCTATTCTTTGACTCGGTCGTAATCCAACGAAAGATTGAACTTTGCGATAGGAGACGAAACGAATGTAAATGGCTAATAAAAATAGAACTACAAGTTGCTTTGGCTATACCAATAAATGTATCGGCTCGATACATCGTCATTGCTGGTGGATTCAATTTCATTTCATGTGATGGCCACATCCCGATATATGTATGCCGAGACGAAGATTGCGCCACAATTGCATGTACTGTACACACGTATCAAGCAGCCATATTTATTATATTGGAACTTTAGTGTCACTTTGGAACGCATTACGAAGAATCTACAGATCAAATCGCTTTTCACCATCTCGCCTCTATATCGCCATGGAGCGGAGGAAAAATGCGAACTGTGGAGAGAGAATGAGAGTAAAATCGTTGAATGATGCAATATTTACGTGAGTTTGTGCAATGCTTTGGAATGAACAAGCGAACGATGAAGGTCCTTCAGTGCCTTGTACATGTGTGCCGAGAGCGGAACCATCATGTTTTGAGTGTGCTAAATGAACTTTTTGATGAAATGAGCTCTTTTCTTTCATATATGCATGGCATTAGGACAAGAGACGGCTTCCCGAGTGGAAATGCCTTTGCTTCTAAAAAGCAATTCATCATCGGACAGTTTTGCTTCTTTTTTCCGAATTTTCATCAAAATATTGCAGTCCTGCTCCTGAATTGCTACGTTTTCATCTGAATCTACTGAAAATGAGTGATGGTCAACGGTCAGTCACGGGTATTGCGAAGCTGATAAGAGATAGTGGGTTGGTGTCTTCGACAAATTTGTAGTACTCGAGACTTTCTATCATTTTGCTGAAGACTGTTATCTGTTATCTCTTATCAGTTGGGCGCAAATCAAAAACACACGCGTATAGCAAGGTTTTTTTTCTTTTGAATTGAATTTTATTTCACCGCTAAAAAACTGGCTGAATATGATTTAAATTTTTACAATAAAAATACATCAGTTGTTTGTATTCACATTTTCTCTTTGGGTTGACAAGAATTTTGCAATATTCGACTTAAATGAGTCTGTAGTTCCAGCAGTATCTACAAGTGTTATGAAATTGTTTATGCAACGAATCATACGAGCAATCGGTTGTTGACGTAAATAATCGGTATCAAATAGAGTTCACTAAGTGTTCTGTTATTTCTTAATGTACGACGTTGTTCAAGCCTCACAAATTTCGAACTAATAAATTCGTCATTGATATTACATTTATATCATTATATATGAGTCAGAAACCATCCTCAGCCAATGTACGCTTATACACAGGCACCGACGACACCGAATGTGAACCATTGGTTCAATCCATTTACTCAGCGCCCAAGTCTCTACCGCGCAGCAAACTCCGAGCAACAGCAAAACCGTTTCGTCCATCGCGTGGACAACAGACGATTCCGTTAAACCCCAAGCTGCACACACCCGACGCGACACGCATCAGTGTCTACTACCAAAACATTCGCAGCTTGGGTAACAAACAGGATGAATTTTTCCACAAATGTGCTGCTTTCGGTTTTGACATAGTCATCTTGACTGAAACCTGGCTCAAACATAGCCACCGTAATGCCGAATTCTTTAATAGCACTTACGACGTCTACCGCAAAGACAGATCATTTAGACGAGGTGGAGGTGTTCCCATTGCTCTCAACAATGAAATCTTCTCTACTGAAGAAATTAAATTCGACAACGTGGACATTGAGCACGTATGCATTAAAGCGAGCTTGCCAACACACAACATTTTTATTTATAATGCATAAAGGGTGTCCCAATAGCAACGCAAAAAAGTATTTATAAAAAAAACAATGAAAATAGTTTCCAATTTTCCAAATCTTTATTGTATGTTGTAGTTTGGTCTTTACCATTTATGTATGAAAAAGAATATCGTGCAAATGTCCACCACGGCTCTTTTCACAGACCTTCAGCCGCTTGCCCAAATTTTCAATTACAGATTCGAGTAATGTCACATTTACGGTGGCTATGACACGTCTGATTTCAATTTTCAGCTCGGCAATGGTGCTTGGTTTGTTGGCATAGACTTTATCCTTGACGTAGCCCCAAAGAAAATAGTCCAATGGCGTTAAATCGCACGAACGAGGCGGCCATTCCACTTCGGCCTTTTGAGAAATGATGCGATTTGGAAAACGTTCTTCGATTACCGCTAATGTTTCAGGTGTTGTGTGTGGTCTGGCGCCGTCTTGTTGAAACCACATGTCGGATAAGTCCATGCCTTCAATTTCCGACCAAAAAAAATACTGCAACATCTCACGATATCGCTCGCCATTGATGGAAACGGCTCGACCATCATCATTTTCGAAGAAATACGGCCCGATGATGCCGCCGGCCCATAAACCGCAACAAACAGTGCAACGAGCTGGATGAGCTGACACTTCTTCAGTTTCTCTTCGATTTTCGCTTCCCCAGAATCGACAATTTTGGCGATTCACATACCCATTCAAGTGAAAATGAGCCTCATCCGAAAAGATCACTTTCTTCAAAAAATCGGCATCCGCGGCCTCTTTTCCTTTGACCCATTCGACGAAATCTCTTCGTTTTCCGTGGTCCATCGGTTCAAGTTCTTGAGTGAGGACAATCTTATAAGCGTGTAGACCCAAGTCTTTGGTGAGAATACGCCATGTGGTCATCCTAGAGAGGCCAACTTGTTGAGAACGTCGACGAGCCGAGGTTCTTGGCTCGTCCTCCACACTTTCACTCACAGGAGCAATATTTTCGTGCGAGCGGGCCGTTCGCATACGGGTTGATGGTTGATCGTCTAACACAGAGCCAGTATGCTCAAATTTCTGCACCAGGCGACTGATGTTGGACACATTTGGTCGATTATTTCGGCCGAAAAATTCACGAATTGCACGAAACGTATTTTGCAAAATAGGCCCATTTTCGTAATGGGATTTAACGACTTGAACGCGTTGATCTTTACTTAATCTTGACATGGTTATAAATGGTATAGATGGACGCTTCAAACTGACATTCCAGTTTGACAGATCGGGGCATCCATCATGAAATCCCTATTGAAAAACTTTTTGCGTCCCTATTGGGACACCCTTTACATTCCACCGAACTCACCCAACGAAATCTACGCTTTGCATCGTTCAGCCATTGAATCACTCACGACAAATGCCGATGACGTTGTGATA